GAGGAAATTTTTTTTTCCTCCCCTCCAATACCGTAATGTACTTAAACATTCCCATCTTGGCACATATTTAGGCTGCCCAGTGTGTTTTCCTATTTTAAAAAATAAGTGAACATGCTTATTGAAATACCTGCTCTCTTAGTTTTTGTTTCCCTGAGGACAGGACTTGAGTGCACATGGATTATTTTGGAGGTAGTCCCACCAAGCATGGGGAGGGGATCGAGGAGTGAGACAGGACAGGAAGGCAGGCAGTACAAGTGTGTTAATGAGCAGGTGACCACAGTGGTCACCTGGGGCTCAGTCCTGCTGGGGACCATGGAAAACTGCAGAACACATAACTCTGAATCAGCCGCCAAGAGGCATGAGGGAGCAGGAGTATTTATACACCCACTCCCCAGATGCTCCAGGGGCATCGACTCCCTGGCACTGATGGCCGTCCTGCACAAAAGGGCAGAGTAAGCCCTAATGAGGCACTGGGGAAGCTTGGCTATATTGAGAGAGGGGGCTGGACTTCTGTTAGTGTGGGCATTGGGGGGGGCTCAGATCTTCCAATAGGGAGCTACCATGTGCCTCCTAAGCTGTGAAGCAAAACTTTTTTTATGTTCATTCTCTGATAAGTATAAATGCATTTGAGGTGCTTACAATGGGTTTGGGAGACCAGCAGGTTTTGTGGAAAGGGCATTCCCATACACTGTTGGCAGAAGTGTGAACCAGGGAAGTAGCAGAAGTGATGCTGTCAACACAGCTGTCTCTTGAGTTTGTCCCTCCTTTGCTAGGCCGCAGGGACCTCTGGAGATGTGGGAGCAAGCTGCAGTCATGGCAAAGCTGACTGCGTGTGCAGAGAGAGGCCAGAGTGGCCGCTGCACGAGCAGGTAGGACATTACAAGAGTCCAAACAGAAGCAATAAAGAACAGGCTGGGAGGTAGCCAGGCATGGGAATGCAGTCTGGAGGGACAGGATTTCATTCTTTCATTCATTAATTCATTCATGTGTTCATGCATTCATTCATTCAATATATTTTTGAGCAATGACTCTATACCAGGCCCTGGGGATATAGCCGTGAATAAAACAAAGTCCTGCTCTGTGGCACTTCCATGCTAGGGATCTTTGAGAGGTATTCTGAAGAATGACCCAGTGGGACCTGATGACTGACTGGGCAGCACAAAGGATGCACAAGAGGAGAGAAGCAAGGCTTAACCCTTGTGAATGTGTGTGTGTGTGTGTGCATGTGAGTGTGAACACTGCCAGCCACTCACACGTCAAGAACTGCACTAGGTGTCAAGGATGGTGATAATAATGATGACCATAACAACAGCCATAATCATAATAGCTGACACCGTTATAGGCTCTTTGCCTGAATTACCTCATTTAATTACCAGAACAACTACATAGATGGGAACTATTTTATACCCACTTTCCAGACGAGAAGACTGAGGCACATCAAATGACTCTAACTTGCCCACAGTCACCCAAGTGGTAAATGATGAAGCCAGATGTGCATTCAAACAATTTGGCTTTGCTGTCCTGAGGGGCTTAAAGTCAGGTGCCAGATGTAGACAGGAAAAGCAAGAAGGGAGGACAGCCTTGCATGCTTTGATGGAAGGATGCCCAAAGAAGTGGCATCCATAGCAGCCTGGGCAGAGGGGAGGGCCAAGCAGTCAAAGAAACTTCCTGGAGGAGATGACACTTGAGCAGAGTCCAGGAAGATGAGTAGATGTTAACAAAGTGAAGAAAAGGTAAGCATATTCACCAGAGGGTTTGCCCCGGGACTGAGCTAAGGCAGGTACGTGGGAGACCTGGGCAGGAGGCTGCATGCTTTAGGGAAGGTGGACAAGGGGAATCTCTGCCTGACAGTCAGCCTCTCCTCTGTGGCTCAGCCATTCCAGCCTGCCCCCAGACCCACAAAATGAGACCTAGCCAAATCAAAGTCCCAAAGGGTACTGGAGCCTCCAAGGGTTTAGGACCATCCCTTCTGAGAAGAGTCCGGATAAATGTGACTTCTCACTCCCACCATAATGCAGGGATATGCTCATGCTCCCAGAAGACTGGCACCCTGGGCAGCCACTTGGCTGATTCCCCATGTCCATCTGCTCTGAATCCAGTGAGCTGTTCTGTTGGCTGGAGAGGCCATGTTTATGGGACATGAGGATGAATCAACTGGTGAGGAGATGTATCCACCTGAACTACAGGGAACCATGAAGAGGCGTTAGCAGGGCAGGAACATTCATGGATTGCAGCCAGAGAACTTAGAAAATCTCTGGAGTTGCAGAGTGCGTGAGGAGTTTTAGAAACCGCCAGTCAAACTTCCTCAGCGTGTCCATCAATCTGAGATAACAGTTTGGTGATCAGATAACATCTTCCAGCAGAGCAAGTCCAAGCCCGTGGCCACAAGCACATTAGGCAAATCCATGTAAACTTGAGGCTAAGTGTTCTGTCCAAGGTTGATCAGGAAGCCTTTCTGACAACTGTCAATTACCATCCCTTCTGCTTTCAATCTCAGCATCTAAACCAACTGTCAGTGGGATGTGGAAAGCCTGCTGCCAGGAAGAACAGATTTTTTTATAAGATAAATATGCTAGAGGGTACACCCACAGATGCATGTCTCTTAGCAATAAACCCAATGGTCCATGTCACCCATGAAGGATCCATGCAGGAGGTGAAACAGAAACAATGAATGAGGACTGGGTGGACCTTGGTGACTGACTTTGGGGCTTCCAAGAGACAGAATGGGAACCCTGGAGTGGCAGCCTAGGGGAGTGAAGACAATGAGCTGATGCTTGGTTTGAGGAGTTTCAGTTCACAATGGGATTTTCAAAGAAATTTGCAGAAACCGGGTAGAAATATAGGATCAGACCTCAAAATAGGGATGTGGAATAAAGGCAAATATATGGAAGGACCTCCATGGAAGCATTGAACATAGCCAAATTCTTAGTAGCTTTGAGTGTAGAAAAGGGGTTCTTAATTCAGGGCCCATGCCAGGGGGTGTGATTTAGGGATCTATAACCCCCTAAAGTTATATGCAACATTTTATATAAATGTTACCGAACACTAAAATGGGATTTTTGATTGAGACAGACTTCAAAGAGACGTGCCAGAAAAGAATGCAAAATTTCTCGTAGTAGGTGAAGACACATAAATAACTTACCAGTGTGAGAAAATGAAATGGTCAGGAGTTGGAGAGCAGAGGGGAAGCTTTAAGTGAGGTGGTCTTGTGTCTGACCCTCGCCAAAACTGTGAGCAGCGACCAACTCACTGCTCCCCGGCCAGGCCACCAAAAGAGACCGCTGAGGTGGGAGCGACGCCAAGAGCATTCCACCCTCAGCCAAAGGAAACCAGAGGATGCCCAGGGCTGAGGAGAGAGCAAACAGGCAGCCACAGGAGAGAGACACTGTGCTGTTATGGCCAGGAGAATAATGTCCCAAAGATGTCCCTGTCCTAACCCCTGGAACCTGTGAATAGGCTGCCGTAAAGGAAAAAGGGGACTTTGCAGATGTGACTAAGTTAAGGATTTTGAGATGGAGAGATTGTCCTCAGTTGTCTGAGTGGGTTGGACGTAATCACAAGGGTCCTTGTGAGAGTCAGGGAGAGGATGCAAGATGCTGCACTGCTGGCTTTGACGATGGAGGAAGGGGCATGGGCTGAGCAACACAGGCAGCCTCCAGAGGCTGGAAAAGGCAAGGAAAGGGGATCTTCCCTAGAGTCTCCAGAAGGAAGGCAGCCCTGCCAACACCTTGATTTTAGGACTTCTGATCTCCAGAACTGTGAGATAGTTCATTCTTGTTGTTTTACCCCTGTTGGTGGTACCTTGTTGCAGCAGCCATAGGAATCTAACACAGCTGCCAGAGAGCTGCAGAGGAGAGGTTCCCAGCAGCAGAGGCTGGGGGGCAGCCAGGAAGGGACCCGCAGAACAGGCAGCTTTAAAATTCCACCAAGTCCAGGAGCACTGCAGCTGGAGCCAAGTAGGAACTTTCCAGTCCCCCCACCCCAGCCTCTTCCCCTAGTCCCAGCACTAGAAAGGTCCTAAGACCTGTGCTTGGTGAGAAGGGGGAGGTGGAGTAGATGGGGGGAAAGAAAGAGAAGCACTCCCTCCTCCTTGCCACATGCAGGCCTCCAGGAGGGAGAAGCACAGCTTCAGACCACATTCAAAGCTCTGACCATCCGGAGAGACCGACAACTTAACTACTGGATTGAGGCTGTGTGTATTGTCTGAGAGTGCCACAAAAGGTTTCAGGGGACAAAGAGCATGGCTAATCCATCCAAAGGGACAGTGGAAAGTGAAAATAAAGCCAGAGCATGACTATACCCACAAGTGGAGCCTGCTCCCCACATGCTGCACAGCCTCTATTTTCTGCAGGGCGTCGACTTCTCCGAGAGGGACCATGCACCTCCCAAGGTTAAGAACTGTTAACAAGGAGGAGGAGGAGGCCAAGGTTTGGGCTTGAGGGAGAGCGTGTATTCCCGCCAGCCAGGGAAGTGGGAGGGGATGACAGGCAGAATCAGAGGGAAGGTCAAGAAGACAGGAAGGATATGGTGTTTGCCCGGCTTACTTGTTCATGCTCCACTGCCCTGGGATCCAGCGTCCCCTGTGTCTCCATCGCTTCCTGTTGCTCCAGACCTCCCACGGCCCTGGCAGAGGTGAGCTCAGTGGCAGAGGCCCCTGGCCTGGCTTCCACCCAGATACTGCTAGGGCAGCAGGAGGCGTGTGTTGCTGAGAGAGCAGCCCCCCAAAAGAGAAGAGATGGGTGTTTGCATGAGTATATGTGTGTGAGATACAAACCTATGCGAGAAGAATGAGAGCAAGTGGGAGTGGGCTTGCCAACCGTTGCAAAGTCTCCCCTGCTCTCACACCAAGTCCAGCTGCAGAGGAAGAGGGAGGGGAGGAGAGCTGTGGGCGTCCACCACAGTCTGGCTTAAATCCTGCCAGGCTGGATGGAGTCAGTGGGAACCAACCAGCCTCCAGCCTGCCTGGGAGGGAGCTCTTCCTATTCCCCCCCAGCTGAGGGATGATGGCCGGATCCTGGCAGGCCCCACGGCTCCTGCTGGCCATTCTGGCAGCCTTGGTGGCCTTCACCTTCCAAACAAGGAGGAAAACCTTTATGAGTGTCCAAGAAGTGCCTGTGTCAGAACCCTACGTGATAGCCACCATGCGGTTTGTGACCAACGAGTTCAACAAGGAGAGTGACGACAAGTACAGTTTCCGGATTGTGCGAGTCCTGAAGGTCCAGAAGCGGGTCAGCGTGGCTCCTCTCCTCTCTCCTCACCACGCCCCTAGGCCAGGGCACTGCGGGAGTTCTGGGGGAAGTCCACTCAAGTGAAATTCAGCCTCATTTAGTGTGAAGTGGGCACTTTAAGAAAAATGTAAATTCACTGGGTGGATGAAGTCGTCACTTAAATGATAGCCAGGACCAGAGGTCAGCACATTACAGTCCAAGAGCCAAATCTGCCTGCTGCCTACTGTTGTAAGTAGTTTTATGGGCACCCAGCTGCATCACGTGTGTTCACGTCCTCTAGGGCTGCTTTCAGGGCTACAGTGGCAGAGTTGAGTACTTTACTATCTGGCCCCTTGCAGACAAAATTTACAGAGCCTTGCCCAAAAATAATTAGCATCATTTGGATTATCCAGGGGCAACTTTACCCACCAAGTGGTTTCTGGTGAATTCTCCTCGAAGGACACAAGGAGCCATGGGAGCCAGATAGGAAGGGGAGAGAGGAGCTCCCCAATCTGTCCAGGACGGGGTCCTCGACCTTAGGCACCACGTAAAGGATTTCCCACCACCAGAAGCTACAGACTAGGGAAATAAAGTCCTTTTATCTCCTTGCCACCTGCTTCCCACAGGTTACTGACCATATGGAGTATCACGTGAACTTGGAGATGCGGCGGACCACCTGTCAAAAGCTGCAGACTGAAAACTGCACCTTACAGGAAGGGGAGCTTTACAAGGTACTGGGTGAAGGCGCGTTCACTCAGAAAGAACTCATTTTTCAATGGGGTTTTCCATGGTTTTAAGATGGGGGGTAGAATTATTGGGGATATATTCAAGCTTGCTTGAAAAGAACGCATGGATGACACCTCCTTTCTCAAAGTGAGAAAGTGAAGGTGACACTGACCAGCTCCTGCCTGGCAGGGACTGCTCCTTTGTTGCTGAAAAAATTGTGAGGAGGTTGGAGGTGTCCAGAGAGAGGGAAGCCAAGTGGCTGAGCTGCAGGGGGACACTCTGGAGCCAAGGGAAGTAGTTAATTATGAATACTATTTTAGCAGCCAGTGGGACCTTGCTGGTGTACCCAGCTGAATATCTGAACATCGGCCTGACGAGAACGTGCAATCACTAGGCTACCAGCCTCTGTTCCTTTCCTACAGCAGTGTTTGGGCAAAGAGGAGAAAGAGACGAGAAAATGAGTTCAGAAATAGTTCAATTGGTAGTAGGAGTGGGTCGGGGGGAGAGGGGACAAATCTGCATGTGTGTGATCTGCTGAGGAGCCACCACCCCCAACAGTGGCTTGGTCCCCTCATGCTTCATCCCCATCCAGTACTGTCACAACCGAGGGAGGCTGGCCAGACCATCATCACTGCAGTGTCATAGGGTGGGCCCACGTGCACAGGGGCCTTGAAGGTCTCAAATCCTACAGGCCCTGCAAATCACTTCTCTTTACCCAAATGAATTAAAGTGAGGATGATCATACGTCCCACCTCGCCTGGAATAGTCCGGATTTATGCCTAGCTTCTTAGTGTAATCATTAGTAGCATCCCCGTTTGCTTACAAAGTATCTTGGTTCATAAATTATATAGTCACCCTAGTTATAAGGCCTGGATATTCTCAACACAGAAACGTGTCCATCCATGGGATCTCTCTTCACTTTTTACGCAGTAATTCTTCAAAAGCTAGAAAGGTAGGCTTTTTTGGTTCTTCCCTGGGGGAGATGATGAAATCTGTGAAAAGAATAACTGAAGATAACAGTAAAGTAAAAATAGAATTAAATAAATAAATAAAATAAAAATAGTAAAAAAAAAAATCTTGGGCCAGCCCCAGTGGCCTAGTGGTTAAGTTCAGAGCACTCCACTTCAGTGGTCCCGATTCAGTTCACAGGCACAGACCTACACCACTTGTCTGTCGGTGGCCATGCTGTGGCAGTGGCTCACATACAAAAGGAGGAAGATTGGCAACAGATGATAGCTCAGGGCAATGCTTCCTCAAGAAAAAAAAAATAGAGGATCTTATTGACGTGTGAGATTGAATTGGTGGAGTTAGTATTCTTATTTCTATTTTAGGAGAAATGTAAATGTTTAAGCCTCCCACCCCACCCCACCACCCCACCCTTGGCTTTCAAATGAAGAGCAGGAAAACAGCATTACAATAAGAAATGATAATTAATAATATGCAAAATATGTTTATTGATTTCTCATTACGGGAGAAGCGGGAGGCGAAAAATAAAAAGGAAAACTTGGGAGAGAATGAGGACAGGGAATGAGAGAGAGGATATGATGGATGGACAAAGAAAGGAAGGAAAGATGATGGAGATGGATGAGAGGGTGCGTGGATGAATGGGTAGGTGGATAGATGGACAAATGAAGGAAAGATGGAAGGAAGGAAAGATTGATCCGTTGGGTAAAAGGAAGGTGAAAGGAAGGAGGGATAGATGGATGGAAAGAAGGATGCAATTGAGATGGATGAGAGGGTGGGAGGGTGGGTGGATGGATGGATGGATGGATGGATGGATGGAGCCAGTAGAGGCCAAGTAAGGAAAAGTGTGAAGTAAATGAAGAGGAAAAAGAATCACTAGTTCCCATAGTGAATGTGGGTAGGGTAGACACTTTATTTCTAGTCTCCAATTCTAATCACAAACAGAAGGACATTTTCTGGGATGATCTCAGCCCTAATACTAACAAATGATGGAAATAGAAATAAAGATCAAACCATATCTGGATTGGAGGCATGGTGAAGTGGTGTCATCTTCCCTATCCACATGTCTTATATCCTCCTTTCCCCTTTTAAATTTTTACCTTGCATGATCTCGTTTAAATATTGTTTTTCTTTTTGTTTTTTAGCAAATTGAGTGCTTCTACTCAGTGTTTGTTGTTCCCTGGTTTGAAAAGTACAAAATTCTGAACAAAAACTGCACCAATGGCTAGGTGTCCTGGAGCATACACCTGCGGTCACTATATGTGAAAGTATCCTGCAATAAGCAGTAATTCTTACTATAGAAAATAAATGTTTGTCAACCTATCCTCTTAATGCTCTTAGTGTGAATGATTCCACTTTTCTTCTTTTCCAAATTCTTCAGCTCATAATAATATAATCTGAAGGTCCTCTGGGCCAGGGCAGTTTTGGGATCCAAATGAGGTGACGTGAATGTTTCCTGGCCTTATAGCCTATACTTGCATGATAGCAAAACTTCAACCCCATCCTTATATCAAGTAGGATTCTTTAGATTTTAAAACAAGAAGGAGAAGATGAGAAGAAGGAGGAGGGAAGAAGCTCTGAGTTACTTAATTGAACAGCCAAGAGATATTTGAAATTATGGCCTATGGTGGCATGTCTGAGGGGGTCCAATGAAGAGTATCCCCTTCCTTGTCTAAAGTGCAAAACATGGAGAAATAATATAAGCAGTTAAAAAAGACAAGGGCCTGTGTTACTGATAAGGACTAGGTTGAGAGATGTGCCTTATTTTTGCTGACAAGTGTACTTTCTAATACCAAACACAAGAATTAGACTTACACCCCAGCATCAGCAACATTGGACCAGAGCAGGTGTTTTCACAGAGGGATTCCTTTCCTGGAGTTACCTAGGAAAATCTGTGCCTCCTATGGGAAGGAGGATGACCTGGGCTACAATGCCCCGTTTATTCTCCCCAAATAGACCAATCAGATTAACTCCTCCAGGAGAGGAACAATTGAGGACAGAGAGAAACTGGGAATACTATGTTAAAGGGGCTCCCTTTTCACGGATGGCACAGTAGCAGTGAGGATTAAGCATCCCACACACAACAGCTTGATTCAGAATTTCAGACAATGTCACCAGGCTCATCTCTCCACTCCACTTCCTCCGTGTGGTCTCAAGAGGGCTGCCAGCAGCTCACTGGGTCACATCTGTCCTCATTCACATCCAGTAGGAGAGAGGAAGATCTTGTCCTCAAGAGCTCAGGCAAAAGCCTTGGGGTTTAATACCACTGGGAAATTCTAGGGACGCTGTGGAACACACACACACACACACACACACACACACACAGCATTTACCTAACTGAAGGGAGAGGGGGCTAGGGTGTTTATCCAATAGCTCCAGTCAGTGATTGGCAGCGGGGCAGCTCCTGGGGGTTTTAGTTCCCTGTAACCTCTGTTCTGGGGTGGCTCGAGGGCAGAGCAAGCAAGCAGAGAAAAAGGGGCACAGGTGCTGGCATTTGAAACTCCAGCTGGTGTGCACAGAAGGATAAGAGGGACAGGATATATACAGAGTGCCAACAGGATACTCCTTGCACATATGAATTGTGAACTGATATGCATGGTAGCCACACAAAGTCTCTACAAGTTGAAGATAGCTGGGAGCTTGGAAAGAACAATTTTTTTCACCTCCTACTCTCCCTACCAAAGCTCTGGAGTGCACAAGACCCTGTTTCAGGTGGGACCCAGGTGGGATTCCCCTCTGCCAACTATCTGGGAAAATGCTAACCTACAATTTCCTCATCTTTAACTGAGAATAACAGTACCTATTCCTTGGGGTAGTTATAAAGGTTAATAACGATAATGCATGTAAATTGCTCAACACAGTGCCTAACACAAAGCAGATATTCAAATAAATGTCAACAATTAGTAAGAATACTGGCAGCAGCAATAGCAGTTTAATATTAATCAATTCTCTTCTGGCACTTTGGCTACTTTGGAGGCAGGGATTATTATCCTGGGGGAGACTAAAGGGAAGATAGAACATTTGTGCCCATTGGTCTTTTGGATTTCTCAGCCCAAGGGGGTTTTAAATTTTTTTTTATCTTGAAATAATTGTAGATTCACAGGAAGTTACAAAGACAGTACAGAGAGATCTCTTGTACCCTTCATCTAGTTTCCTCCCCCCTTGTTATATCTTATGTAATTATAGAAAACTATCACAACCAAAAAATTGACACTGGTACAATGTGCATGTGTGTCATTTTGTCATATGTGTAGATTCATGTGACTACCACCGCAATCCCACCACCAACTATCCCATCACCACAAAGATATTCTTTACTACCCCTTCACAGTCACATCATCCTTTCCTCCACCATCTCAAACTCCTGGCAACCGCTAATTTATTCTCCATCTCTATAATTGTGCCAGTTTGAGAATGTTATATGAATGGAATCATACAGCAAGTGACCTTTGAGATTGGTCATAATGCCCTTAGGATCCATCCAAGTTGTTTCATGTATCAGTAGTTTGTTCCTTTTAATTACTGTGTAGGATTCTATGGTCTATCACAGTACCACAGTTTTCTTAACTATTTACCTATTTTAGGATATGTTTGTTGTTTTCAAGTTTTGGGTTATTACAAATAAAGCTTTATGAACAATCATGTACAGGTTTTTGTTTGGACATAAGTTTCCATTTCGCTGGGTTAAATGCCCAGGAGTGAAATTGCTGCATTACATGGTAAAGTATATTTTAGAGTTTTTTTAAGAAACAGCCAAACTATTTTCCAGAGTGGATGTATCACTATATAATGTCCCTCTCTATTGCAGGTAATTTTATTTGCTCTGAGATCTACTTTACCTGATATTAGTATACCCTCTTTTACTTTTTTTCGATTAATGTTTGTATAATATAACTTTTTTCACACTTTTACTTTCAACCTACCCATATCATTATATTTGAAGTAAGTTTCTTGTAGACAGCATATAGTTGGGTCGTGTTTTTTTTAATCCGCTCTACCAATCTTTGTCTTTAATTGGCTTATTTAGACCATTTACTTGTAGTTTGCACATACCATTTAATGTAAATAATGATATGTTAGGGCTTAAGTGTCATTTAACTTTTTGTCCTCTGTTCTGTCTGCTTTTTGTTTCTGTTTTTTTCTTTTATTCTTCCTTCCTGTGAGTTACTTGAACATTCTTTAAAGAATTCCATTTTTATGTATCTATACTGTTTCTGAGTGTGTCTCTTTGCATAGCCTTTTTAGTGGTTGCTCTAGATATTAAATTATATATACATAACTTGGCAGTCTATTGGTGTCAATATTTTACCAGTTTGAATGAAGTGTAAAATGTTTATCTCCTTTTACATCTTTTTATCATTCCTCATTTACAAATGTCTTAAATATTTCTTCTACTTACATTGAAAACCACATCAGACAATGATATAATTTTTGCTTTAACCATGAAACATAATTTAGAAAACTCAAGAGAAAGAAAGCCTATTGTATTTACCCATATTTTTACTTTTTATGTTCTTCTTTTCTGATGTTCTAAAATTTCTTCTTTTATAATTTCCTTTCTATTTAGAGAAATTCTTTTAACTATTCTTTTAGGGTAGGTCTTCTCGTGCAAATTCTCTTGGTTTCCCTTCATCTGAGAATGGCTTGATTTCCCCTTCATTCCTAAGGGATATTTTTGGGGGGGGTGGGTGATAAAGACTGGCTCTGAGCCAACATCCATTTTGCCAATCCTCTTTTTGCTGAGGAAGATTAGCCCTGAGCTAACATCTGTGCTCCTCCTCCTCCACTTTGTATGTGGGATGCCACCACAGCATGGCTTGATGAGCAGAGCATAGGCCCATGCCCAGGATCCGAGCCCACGAACCATGGGCTGCCAAAGTGGAGTGCATGAACCCAACCACTATACCAGCAGGCCGGCCCTCTGAGGGATATTTTCTATGGATATAGGATTCTGAGTTGACAGATTTTTTTTTCCTTCATGACCTTAAAAATGTTGTGCTACTTCTGGCCTCCATAGTTTTTGATGAGAAATCTGCTGTCATTCAAACTGTTGGAGGTTTTTTCCCCTAAAGTTAAGGTGTCTTTTCTCTTTCATGTTTTTCTTCTTTGTCTTTAATTTTCAGAAGTTTGACTCTGATGTGTCTTTGTGTGGATTTTTTTGGGGTTACCCTGTTTAGGATTCACTCTGTTTCTTGAATCTGTATGTTTATGTCTTTTGCCAAATTTGGGGACTTCTCAGCCATTATTTCTTCAAATAGTTTTTCAGCCCGTCTCTCTCCTCTCCTTCTGGAACTTCAGCATGTTAGATCTTTCGTAATAGTCTCACAAATCTCTGAGGCTCTATTCATATATTTAGTTGACTTTCTGTTGTTCAGATGAGTAGTTTCTATTGTTTTCTCTTCCAGTTCTCCCTCCATCCATGGTGAGTCCGTCACTGAATTTTTTATTTTAGTTATTGTATTTTTCAATTCTAAAATTTACATTTGTTTCTTCTTTATATCTTCTATTTCTTTGGTGAGATTTTTTATATCTTTGCTTAGACTTTCCATTTGTTCATTTGTTCAAAGCATGTTAATAATTGCTCATTGCAGCATTTTTATGATGACTGCTTTAAAATCTTTATTGCGATTTGTAAGAAATATATATATTTGGTCATTCAGATGACCAACATGTGTTTCTCACATATATTTGGTCTTCATCCACAGCTCCTGGCTCACAGCTCCCAAATCCCTTGGCATTTCCAGAGCAATAAGAGCGGTGGGAGCGTTTTCTGTTAGAATATTCAGTTTCTTGTCCTCAGTTCCTGAAAACCCCTCAAGGCCATAGAGATAAAACGGACATCTTGTTTATGTTAATGAAGGTGACTTTGGGACCCCTCCCAAGGGTGGGGGCTGGTTGCCAGGAGAACCAGCCAAGTGCCCAGAGCATTGGAAATTTCAGTCCCTCCACCTGATCTCTGGGGAGGGGGGGTGCTTGAGGTTGAGTCAGTTGCCAATGGCCAATGACTTAGCCAATCACGATGTGTAATGAAGTCTCCATAAAAACCCAAAAGGACAGTTTGGTGGCCTCTTTTTATGGAGAGCTTTCACACTGAGGAAACAGAGTGCTTCCACGTGCCACCGTGCCAGGCCCCAAGCTCCACGAGGACAGAAGCTCCTTTGTTCAGGACCTCCCCCTATGTATCTTTTCATCTGGCTGTGACTTTGTATTCTTTAATGTCATTTGTAACAAATCGGTAATCTAGTGAGTAAACAGGTTTTCTTGAGTTCTGTAAGCTGCACTAGAAAACTAATCACAACTGAAGAGAGGGTCATGGGAACCTCTGATTTATAGCCAGTCAGTCAGAAGTACAAGTTGGAGGGGGTCATTGGAACCTCCAGTTTGTAGCTGGTCAGTCAGAAGCACAGGTGACAACCTGAGCTTGCAACTGGCATCTGAAGTAGATGGCCAATCTGTGAGACTGAGCCTTTTACCTGTGGAATCTGATCTGCGAGTAGGTAGTGTCTGAAGTGAGTTGAATTCTTGGACACACTGCTGGTGTCAGTATGGGGAAGCCTCCATACACACACACGGAATTGGGTCCAAGAACCCTTTGTACTTATCAAATGACGTTAAATCTGTGGCATCTCTATGTTAGTATCTGTTCATTATCTTTTCTCATTTAAGTTTAAATTTTCCTGTTTCTTAGTAGGACAAATGATTTTCGACAAAAACTTGGATGTTTTCATGTTGTAACTCTGAATCTTATTTGTATCTCTTTTCGCAGGCCTCCTCTGACGGTGTTCTGATGGGAAGAGAGGGCCGCCACCTCATTACTGACAGGCGAGGATGGAAGCCAGGTTCTCCCCTCGTCCTCTGTTGACATAGTGTGGGGAATGCTCATCACAGCTGGACAGGGGTGGGAGTTCAGGCTCCCCAGCAGGCCTCTGATGATACCACTCTGGCTGGGAGGGACATGAGTACCTCATCACTGCTGCCCCACGTGCCTCTTCTGACACCACCTCGGTGGAGAAAAAGAAGTCCAGGCTCTCCACACGGTCTTCACTATCATCACAGGGAGGAGGGGGCTTGTTGCCACCCAAAGAGGATGAAAGTCCCAGTTCCCTACTTGGCCTTCTCTGGCACCATCCTAACACGGTGTTGGGCTCCTCATTACAGCCTCAGGAGGGTGAAAGTCTAGGCTCCCTACTCAGCCTTTGCTGGGGGGGGAGGGTTGTAGAGCTTCATTTTTTTCCTGTGCTCTTTGGCTAGAGCAGAGCAGTTATTGTCTAAATGTTTTCTGTCCCGATGGGCTGCCCCTTTCCTGGCCCTTTGGCTAGAGAGAGCAGGCTTTTGTTGAGGCATTTTTCTCTGCACATATTGGCATTTCCAGGTTGCCAGCTTCTTCATCCCCAAGTCTGAAATATATGAAGCAAAAAGAAAACCCAGTGTATCAGCTTCCTCTAGCTGATGTAACAAATTACCACAAGCTCGGTGGCCTAAAACTGAGAAATTTGTTCTCACAAAGTTCTGGAGCCGTGAAGTCTGAAATGAAAGCTATTAGCAAGACCATGTTCCCTCCAGAGGGCCTAGGAGAGACTCTGTTCCCTGTCTCTCCCAGCCTCTGGTAGCTTCTGGCATTCCTGGGCTGTGGCCGCATCACTGCCATCTCTGCCTCATCTTCACACACCTTCTCCTCTGTGTGTCTCTGCCAAATCTCTCTGCCTGTCTCTTATAAGGACCTGTCTTGGGTCCTTTAGATGTCAGGGCCTGGACTTCGCACTCCAATCACACAGGCCTTCCTTGGGCCTGCCCCTTCTAGCTGCCCTTTATAAAGATTTTATTTATTTATTTTCCCCCCAAAGCCCCAGTAGATAGTTGTATGTCATAGCTGCACATCCTTCTAGTTGCTGTATGTGGGACACGGCCTCAGCATGGCCGGAGAAGCGGTGCGTCAGTGAGCGCCCGGGATCCGAACCCGGGCCGCCAGCAGCGGAGCACACGCACTTAACTGCTAAGCCACGGGGCCGGCCCTAGCTGCCCATTATAAAAGCAAGATAGGTGGGTGGGGCAGGGAGAGCTCACTTTAAAAATTCAAAGCAAAGCCATAAAGTTTGGTAAAATATTATTTAAAAATTGAGGGCCAATATGAAATTACATAAAATAAAGATAGAAACAAAAGAATTAGGCCATATTACAAAAAGATACAAAGAAGTAAGAACTTAGAGGTTGAACAAGGTTTAAATCAATAATTAAGTAACATTAGAGTGGTACACTAAGTAAAAAATTAAAAATGTTAGGGGCCAGCCCGGTGGCGTAGCGGTTAAGTGCGTGCACTCCACTGCGGCCGTGCAGGGTTCGCAGGTCTGGATCCCGGGTGCGCACCAATGCACTGCTTGTCAAGCCGTGCTATGGCGGCGTACCATATAAAGTGGAGGAAGATGGGCACGGATGTTAGCTCAGGGCCAATCTTCCTTGGCAAAAAGGAGAAGGATTGGCATCGGATGTTAGCTCAGGGCTGATCTTCCTCAACAAAAAAAAGAAAAATCCTTAAAAGATCTTGAGTAAATTAAAGACTGAACATAGACGCACCACATTATCCACCAATTCCACTCTTAGGTATGTACCCAACAGAACACGTGCACACATCCACCATTAGACATTGTACACATTTGTTTATTCTTAATAGCTATTATTCCTAAAAGTTAGAAACTACCCAAAAGCCCATTATCAGTAGAATGAATAAATAGATTGTGATATATTCACACAATGGAATTCTACACAATAATAAAAGTGAACTACAAGTACACACAACATGGATGAATTCAAAAATATGATGAGTGAAAAAAGCCAGAAACAAAAGAATATATACTGTATGATTCCATTTCTAAAAGTTCAACCAACAGGCCAGACTCAGAGAGGATATTAGGATCTGGACAGAGGTTACCTTTGGAGGCTCCTCCCCTGTAAAGTGGAGGTCAGAGTCACTGGTTCACTGGGTTGTCATGATGATCAATCAAGATAATGAGGGCAGCAGGCCAGTGCCAGGGACCTAATCAGCCCTCAGTGAGGTTAGATTTGTAGGACTGGGTGCTTCTGGCTTCCCTCTTTTTTGAACAAGAATTTCACCACCTTTAACTCTTCACCTCCATCCCCTCTTCTCCCTCAGGCATCCTGGGAAAATTTGAGGTTCTCACTTGTGTGTATACTTTTCCTCTTTGGAAATACTCTCTCAAGTTGCCATTATGACTGTGCTGGTGGGACTGGTCCCTGCGGAGGAGACCAACTGGTCCAGTGGTACACTCTCAGCCCACACTCGCTCCCCATTTCTGGTTCAGTGTGCGCCTCTCTGCTCCACCATGAGTCACACAAGGGAAGACACCACAGGTCCTGTTCCACCAGCAATGAGCACGTGGGAGGCTCAGGAGAATGGAGTTCTCCTAGCCAGCCCGAGACCACTGTCCTTGGAAAGACCTGCTTGCAAAGTTGGCCTTGGCTGGAGTCTGGGAACTCGGATGATAAACAGCTCCCTACACTGATATAAACATTTCCCTAAATGATAAGACGGCCTCCCTGTGTCTACACTGTTTGTACAGACAACGTGATTTATGCTGAATGCCTTCTTTCCTTGTGGGAGCCTGAAATTTGGGTACATGCTAGGCAGAGGCTGCTGCGTGCCCAGCTCCAGGGAAAACCCGGGGCACAGAGTCTCTACCGCGCTTCCCTGGCAGACAACATTTCACACGTGTGTCCTGCATGACTGTGCCAGGCGAGGACTCTGGACACCTGTGCCTGGCTTCCTAGGTCTTCTTCTCACGCACCTCTTCCCTCTGCTGACTCTGCTTCATATCCTTTCACTGCGGTAAGTCACGGCCGTGAGCACGACTACACGCCAAGTCCTGGGAGTCCTCCCAGTGAGTTACTGAACCCGGGGTGGTCTCGGGGACCTGGAACACACTCACAAAGATGTGCCTCAGTCACAGAGTTGTATGTGCACAGAGAAGAGACAGAGCTCGTCCAAGCTTAGGCCAGATGTCGTGAGGTGCCTGGATCATGAAAAGCCTCAGAGAGATGGGCCGAAGTAGAAAAAAATTTGAGGTTCCCCCAGAGTTAACAACCTTCTGCTCAAATTGACCGGCTGCAAAAGACCACTGAAAATGTATACAAGTGAGTGTGAGCATGTGAGAATGCATGTCAGTGTGTGAGTGCGTGTGAGAGTATGCTGTGTGTGTGTGTGCATGTGTGTGAGCGCATTGTGAGTTTGAGTGAATGTGCACAGGCACGTGTGAGTGTGTGAGAACATGAGTGAGTGTGTATGCAAATGTGCATGTGTGAATGTGTGTGTGTCTGTGTCTGTGAGTGGGTGTGTAGCGAGACCCTGATGAGGGAGATGTGGTCCTTTCTGACACCTATAACAGAAAGCACACAGGGGAGAGGTCTATGGTTTCATTAAGGATCTTTGCACAAATGCACTTAGGCCTCCAGACAAGAGTTGTTCCAGAGCTGATAATAGTTCATCCAGGGCACAGTGTATATCAAAAAATCACAAATGAAACTCTGTGGAAGGAGAAAGAAAACAATCAGCTTTCAGGGAAATATTTTTTGAAGGCGAACAAAAAGCTCCTGCCCCCTCGGGTCTGGGGGGTCTGGACCCCTCACGTGGCTGCGCACTGACCACGTGGGCCGGGAGGATCTGCTCCCTGTCACACGGTGGGGGTGGAGGGGGCGCCAGGCCCTGCACAGGAATCTCACCCCGGGCTCCCCTCGCCCATCTGGAGAGGTCTCCCCACACTGCCCCAGTCCTCCTACACCTGCACCCAGGCACAGGGAGACCTTCGTATCTGCCAGCTTGCAGGTAGTGCCACCAGGAGGGACCAGGAAAGGGAGGGCAGAGGTTGGAAGACAAAGAGGCAACTGGGCAACCCTCAGGGACCTGGAGAGTGTAAGCCGAGACCAGAACAAGGTTCCCGAGGAAAGTAGACGCCACTTCCACCTGAGGCCTGGGAGTGGGCCAGGTGGGCAGGAGTCCAGTGACAGGGAGGCCTGGGGCAAGGGTGGTGCCAGCACAGGGTGGGGAGACTGCCTTCCTCCCACCCCCAGGGGCCTCCGATGGTGTGAGGTGGCCCTAGGGCTATGCCCTCACCCTGCCCCAATCCACACAGCTGGAAAAGCTGTCAATATCCAATTCGTGCTTACATTGTAAGTTTTTACTTTTTCCCCTCTTGATCATAAGTCCCTTCAAACACACCTTTTTCAGGTTCTTCTTGCTTTGAACGGGACATGAACGACTTTTTGTGCTGTTCCTCTTGCATTTGGTCCGGCTAATCTTCACGCTGACCATGTACTCCACTCCCGTTGTCAGCTAACGAGAATCAATGGCACTGTTAGTTTCGGCTCCAAGCATCCAGTTGCTGACTTTCTCCAGGAAAAACTAGGATGGAGAGTGAAGCCCCAGGAGCCACAGTCCCTGTTCCCGGAGCTCATCCACCAAAAGCACAGCTCCCTCCTCCCCTCCCAGGCTGGAGGATGCACAGGGACGGTGTGGCCCCTGGTCAGCACCCAGTGTGGGCGGAACCCATTTTCTTGCTCTGGACTGGCTTCACTGCCGCAGCCACAGCCAGCTTTGCCCCTGTCTCCCTCATATCCTTTGGACGAGGGAGGCTACACATCACGAGCTTGGCTGCCCTGCAACCCCAGAACACCCCCAGTCTGCACACAAGGTCCTCAGAAAGCATGGAGCCACATCTTGTCCCTCAGCTCTCTCAGTCCCCTTCATCCATGTCCTCTCCCCCCACTCTCCTTCCCAACAAACCTGATGGGAGGCAGTTTAGGAACACAGCTGAAAACACGGGCTTAGGAATCAAATCAGTTTGGGGCATGAGTTCCACATCTGCTAATACTGTGACCTTGGGCAAGTGCCTAGCAGCTTCAGTGTCTCCACTTACAGAGCATAGATAATAATCATGCCTGCTCAAGGAGTTGTTATGTGGGCAAACGGGAAGCACGCATTTCGCTGAACGCACAAAATAAAATAACAATATTTACGAATTATTAAATTTTTAGGAAAGTGTCAGGAACATTACTCTGAAGTGGCTATGGAGTTGGGAGAGCAACAGAATGAAAGACAGAAGAACTGTGCTCAAGTGCTGGCTTAATCCCCTGCCATCTCTGTCACCTTGGCCAACTCCGTCCACCTCCCTGAGTCTCAGTTTCCTCAGCTATAAAATGAGGAAGATACTGTCACTTTCTTCCTAGTGTGTGTGCGAGTGATGAACACGTAAGCCATGGAAAACACACGCCAGGGCTCTTCCTGTCTTCTTGTACTCATGTTCAAGTATGAGGCTGTGAAGACTTGCAGGGTTAAAGACCGAGAAAGCCTTTTGTGGCAGGGAAGCCCCATACCCAGAAGCGAAACTTTAACAAATGGTTTGGTGATTATTGTTGCCTGTTGGAAGCTGAGCTGGATTCTCCAAGTAAATATGTGGACTAGAGAGTTCTGCACTGGTGAGGGGAGAAGCTCCTGGAAGTTCCCTGCTTCCATGTCCTAATGTCAGTAGTCAAACCAAATGAGGAGGCTTGGCACTCTCTAGGGTGGCAATAGAGGGAGAGAGTGCTCACACTGCCCCCAGGAGGAAAGCACCCCCAGAAAACCTCAAGGCAGTGCGAGGGGAGGGGCTGAGGGCAGTACCGCCCTCCTGGTCCTGGTGGGGCTGAGCATCTGCCAGAAGAACCTCAGGATGTGGGGCTCTGTTGCTCGTTGTCCAAGGACAGTTCCATGCAGGTGATGGCATCTTGCAGGGCTAGTGCCACGCGCTGTCACACTGACCTTCAGCACACTGTACATATGAAAACACTAAAACACTGGCCATAAATTTAACTAACAGTCCAGGGTGCAAAGTGTCTTCTTATTCACTACTAGACTTGATTGTTAGTAAGAGGAATAATCATAATAATACAAATATTCTTACAAGTGCTGCTTCACTCGTATTCTGCCCACTTTGCAGGTGAGGAAACTGAGACCTGGGGAGTATGGATAGCACTTGACCAAGACCCCATGATAAGGAGGGGGAACTGGAGCCCAGGCACAGGCAGCACACCATGCCACCTCCTGATCCCCTCTGTGAGGGATTAGGATGGACACAACCTTGCAGCCACAGGTGTGAGGATGCCCAGGGACCCTTGCCCTAGGTCACCCAGCTACCAAGGGGCACACTCGCTCTGTCCACTCATTCATTTGCATGACATCAAAAGTTTGCTCATAACAATTCTTTTAAAGTGAACTGTTAATGACAATGGATTGATTCCACAGGACAGACCTCCTCTGGTTCTCAGATTCATCCTTGGGAAGACTGATGGGGAGAACAAGCCAACTTCAACAAGAACTTGGCTGCCACCTTGTGGCCAAGTCACCTCAACGTTCTTGGCCCTGACGAGCCACCACCTTGTGGCAGGAGTGTGTGACTGATGCAGGGACAGGCTAATGTCTTCATGCTGTGACTTGAGGCCATTTGTGTCACACTAACACTGCTCACCCGTCTCTGCCTCTGCCCTTGCTGGTTTCTCCTGTTCCCGCTGCCCGTCTCTCTGGCCAGAGCAATTTTCTCCTAGTCAATTATTTTTTCCAAATCTGGTTAATTGAACTAAGATGTATTATTGACTCTGCCCCAACTTATATAGTTTGCTATCTGAACTTGAAGGCAGTTTGGACCAACAAAAGCGATTTTCAAACAACTTTTCTTTCCTCTGTCACCCTTCAATTGATATATTTCAGAGAAACTTAATACATAAAACTAAAAAAAGAAAGGTGTTCTGTGGAATTCCAGGTTTATGTGGAACCCGGCTAGGAAGTACTTCCCAACAAAGCACTTGTTCCGGGGAACCTGTTGTCACTCTGATAGGACCTACTTTCAGAATGAAAGGAATTCTTCCCAAGGAAGAGCTGCTGAGAATCTCAGGGGACTAAGAGTAAGAGAGTTGGGATTTCACTCCAGCCCTTAGACTAGCATCTCGGAAGGGTGGCTAAGGCAACTCTGGGGCCTGAACAGCTCTAAGGCATGCCCATTCCAAGTGAAGCCACTGCCGGCTTGGTGAAACCATCACTTAGTTCTCCCTGGGAGCCACATCGTGTCCCCATGTGTCTGAGTGGGCAAGAATGGGGGTAGTGCCCACATCTGGAGAAACTGAGGCACAAACCTGCATCTGGCTTCGAAGTAGCTTGTCAACTCCAAATAAGTAGGTGTCGTTGCTAGCATTGTTGTAGGTTTCAATGAAGAATTTGAGAGTTGAATTCATGTTTTTCTGACTCGTGGACTTCTCTCGGAAGCCTCCCCACCTTTGAAAGTGACCCAACTTGGCCGCCAGGACCAGGGCAGCCAGCAGCAGCAGAGGGTTCCTCCAGCATCCACCTCCCATCTCTGCAGCCTCAGAAACCTCCTCTCCACTGCACCTTCCAGGGTGGGGAGGCGCCAGGCTGTGGCTCGCTCACTTTCCAGCAGCAGCCCTCGCCAACGCAGGCTTCTCCAGGAGATGGCCTGCCTGCATTTAAACAGAGGTTGAGACTGGAACCTCATCCTTCTGAGGCCCTGCCCACAGTACGACCAAAGGACCCACCAGGGAAATCTCCTTGCATGGCTGCCCAACCCACTCTCAGGTCAGAACATTTTCCACACATTTATGACACCCATTCACTTCTTTGGTGATTCAGGCAAGTGTAATTTCTAAACACCTGCCAAGATGGACAAGACCCTCTCCCTGCCTTCACACCTGAGATGTACTATTGACTCTGCCCCAACTTATATAGTTTACTATCTGACCTTGAGGGCAGGTTGGACCTGAGAGGAAGAAAGCCCCCAGAACAGACCTTCACAGTACTATGCAATAAGAGCTGGTATATTGGATAGAGGATCACCATTTGTGGGAATTGGGAAAGACTTAGGGAGAAGGTAAAATTTGAACTGAGACCTAAGGAATCAGGGACATGGAACAGGGTATGGTACATTCTACTTACCTACTGTGGGTTCCAATCATCTAACCCAGCCATCAGCTACTCCCTGTGCTTCCTCTAGGGACAGGTTCTCTTTACTCACCTGCTACATACTCACCACAGATATCTGCCTGCGGGATCCCACTGTGCCTGCAGGCCCTGGAGCTAACTCTTGCTATCTTGGTGAGACCCCAGCAGAGCTTTGTGAGGTAATCCCAGCCTCCCTGTGAGGGAGGAATAAACTGTGAGCCTTATTCGGAAATTAATCCTGCAGACCACTGAAGGTTAGGTGTTGCCTGTGTAGGGGAGGAAATTCTCCTCTACCTTCTTTGGGTCTCTGGCTGGGCCTAAGAATTAAACTGACATAAGGTAGAGTAACAGGAGAAAAGCATACAAATTTTGTTGAATTTTTACATGTATATGGAAGCCTTCATTAGAGAATGGAGACTTGAAGAAGTGACCAGAGCAGGAAGCTTTTATATCTTTTAGAGAAAGAAAGAATAAATTTGTGAGGAATTGACAAGTTGGAGGGGTTTGGGCTAGGGGTAGGTAGTCCATGGTGAAGAAGTAACAAGTTTGTTTATACAGCCTTCTCGGCCCTAAATTCCCCATCTCTGGTGACGAGGTGTCCTCAGCCCTCCTGGTACAGGAGGGCACCTTTCAAACAGGAGATTTGTCTCCTACTTTCAGAGAACAAGGGTCAGGGGGGAGGTCAGAGTGTTCTTCCCGCTTCTGCTGTTTTCTCAGACTCCTCCAGCTTAAGAGATTCAAGATGCCAACGGGCCATATTCTGGGGTAGCGTGTCCTGAACCCCATCACCTGCACCCATAAGAGCTCCCTATTTTTGAAATACTCACTAAGGTGGGATCCTGAATGAGGTCCTGCTCCAGAAAAAGAACATTAGTGGGACAACTGATGAAATGTAAATAAAATCTGTAGATTAGTTAATAGTATTGTATGAATGCTAACTTCCTAGTTTTCACCATTGTACTGTAAAATTATGTAAGATGTTAACATTTGGGGAAGTGGGGTGAAGGGTGTGTGAGAACATTTATGCTATTTTTTTAAGTCTGAAATTATTTCAAAATAAAGGTTAAAATGTTCCAAAATAAATAAATAGGACCTTGGTCTTTGAGAAGCAGCATGATTTGGTGGGAAAAGCGTGGACCTTGCAATCCAGCTCTCCTGGGTTCAAATCCCTTGCTGGGTGACTCTGAGAGAGTTACTTAATCTCCTGAGCCTCAGTTTCTTCATCTATAATATGAGAATGGAAAAAGCACTAATCTTGGATTGTGGTGGAGACTAAATGAATACAGGCAAAGAACCTGTTCCCAGGTCAGGCATCAGCCAGCGCTCAAGAACATCCTCTTGTCGGGAGAGAAGGAGAATCTCCCTCTGCCCTTTTCCTTAAGGTTCTTATGGCTGGCCAAATAATCAACAAGACAGGTTAGCAGGAGAAAATAATACCAAGTTTAATAACATGTATACATGGGAGAAACTCAGAAATGAGCAACTTGCCCCTCTGTCTAAGCTGCCCGCTTAAGTACTGTAGCTAAAGGCGAGGAAGGTGTTGGGGCTGGGTAGTGGTCTGGGACCTCAGAGGGCAAGAAGACAGCTCACATGGAGATAGGAATGCAAATGTTCGCCTGACAATTCTTCTCAGGGTCATCTATGTGGTCAGGGAGAGAGAGAGTTTTTGATAAAAGGGGCTTGGTGCCTTTCCTATTGTAACCTCTATCCTACGTTATCTTTACAGCCATCATGATAATAACTCCTTCCTGAACCAGATCTTTTGTTTTAAATTCTTTAGGCAGTTTGGGAGGGGAAACTCAAATATTCTTCCTGAATTCTCTGAGTCCTTATTGTCTTCAGCTTGAAATAATCCGCATACCAGAGTGGTGCCTCCTGGGGTAGCTTGCCCTGAGCACCATCACTCTGCACGGTTCTTCCACAACTCTGAACCCACATGCTGAAGCCCGTGGTCTGTCAGATCCCAACTGCCTCAGAGTGTCATTGTAAGATAGATACATCAGGATTCTGAGGAATATGTGCGAGTGCTCAGATCTAGACAAGCTCAGCCAGCCCTGGAAATCTGGGATATGCCCTTCAGACTGTGGACCTGAGGAAAGGAAAGTAGTATTCAAGAGGCCATATTAGGAAACTGGTGAATATGGGGCTAAATACATAAAAAATAGGTCTGTTTGGGGCCAGCAAATTGGCGTGCTCCACTTCAGTAGCTGGGGTTCACGGGTTCAGATCCCAGGCATGGACCTACGCACTGCTTATCACACCATGCTGTGGCGGCATCCCACATATAAAGTGGAGGAAGATGGGCACGGATGTTAGCCCAGGGCCAGTCTTCCTCAGCAAAAAGAGGAGGCTTGCCACAGATGTTAGCTCAGGGCTAATCTTCCTCACACACACATAAATAAGTCTGCTTAAGAAATATGGGCCTTGGCTATGTGCATAAAGTAGGAGAAAAATGGGTCCCTGTAATTTCCACGGAATAAGAGGAAATATAGATTTTGGCTATGTCCCTACAATAAAACAACAAAAGGAGGACTTATCACGTCACTCCTGGAGTTCGTTGGCTTGTGGCAGCATAAGTCTAGTCTCTGCCACCGTCTTCACACAGACTGGCTCCTGTGTCTCTTTGTCTCAAATCTCTTTCCTTTCTCTTGTAAGAACACCAGTCCTTGGATTTAGGGCCTACTCTAAATCCACTATGATCTCATCTTAAGATGGGGTAGCTTGCCCTGAGCACCATTTACAGTCTAAATCTGTAAAGACTCTGTATTTAAATAAGCTCACATTCACAGGTACTAGGGATTAGGACTTGGATATATATTTCAGGGGAACACAATTCAACTCACTAAAAAGTCCACAGAATAAGAAGAAAATTGGGAGGGCAAGCGTGTCCACGTGTGTATAGTTTCCCCTGGCGACTGTAACAAATTACCACAAACTTGGTGTCTTAAAACAACAGGAATTTATTCTCTAACAGTTCTGGAGGCCAGAAGTCCAAAGTCATTTTCAGTGTGTCGGCAGGGCTGTACTCCCTCCAGAGGTTCTAGAGAGAACACTTTCCTCGCCTCTTACAGCTTCCACTGGCTGCCGGCATCCCTTGGCATGTGGCCACATCACTCCAATCTCTGCTTCCATGGTCACATGGCCCCCTTCTCCTCTGCATCAAATCTCCCTCTGGATCCCTCTTATAGGAATACATGGGCTGCATTTAGTGCCCACCTGGAAATTCCAGGATGATCTGCCTATCTCAAGATCTTGAACTTAATCACCTACGTAAAGTCCTTCTTTGCCATATAAGGTAATTTTCACAGGTTCCAGGGGTTAGAATGTGGCTATCTTTTGGAGGGCCATTATTCAGCCTACCACACCATGGATTAGGGGAAAATAGGAGGGCTGATTATTTCCATGAAATAGGGGGAGAACAAAGACCCTGGTCACATCCCTGGAAAAGTGAAAAAGGGAAATGGACACATTCAGGGAAATAGGAGGCCCCACCAATTCTATGCTTAAGAGGAAAATAGGTGTCCTGGTTATGTCCATGGAATAAGAAAAAATAGGGCTCTGGTTATCTTCAGGAGTAAGGATAAAATGGGGGCATGATCGTGCACCAAGGGGAAAACAGCAGTCCTGGTCATGTCCATGGAATAAGGGAAAAATAGGAGACCTGATAACACATGGGATCAGATGATAACAGAGAGCAGTGGTATATCTACGAGTCAGAGGAAAAATAAGGTAAGACAGATTATTTCCATAGATTAACGGGAAAATGGGAGTTTTAGTCATGTCTATATTATAACAGGAAAATAGGAGGCTGGTCATGTCCATGGAATGAAGAGAAAATAGGATTCTAGTAATGTCCATGGTATAGGGGGAAACAGGGAGCTTGGTTAAGATCACGGGATAAAGGGAAAATAAGGGGCCTGGTTATATCTGGATTATGCTGTGCGGGAAGGTGGCAATTTAATGTCCATAAAATAAGGAGCAACCAGGGACCCCTATCAAGTCCATGGATAAGTGGAAAATAAACACCTCATTATGTCTGTGCAACAAGGGTCAAATAAGGACCCTGTCATGTCCAGGGAACATGGTGAAAATAAGGGGCCTAGCTATGTCCATGAATTAAGAGAAAAATATGGAACCTGTTAAGATCCACAGAAAGGGAAAATTTTAGGCCTGATTATTTCCATGCAATGAGGAGAAAACAGGGTAGCGTGCTGGATGTGTCCACATGATAAGGGGAAAGTGGGGGGGGGGACCTCGTTATAACCATGGAATAAGGGACAGAGCAGAGGGCCCTGGCCAGGTCTACAGAATTAAAGGAAAATAGGAGGGGGCCGGCCCGGTGGCACAAGCGGTTAAGCGCATGCACTCTGCTGCGGTGGCCCAGGGTTCGCCGGTTTGGATCCTGGGCACGCACTGACGCACCGCTTGGCAAGCCATGCTGTGGTGGCGTCCCATACAAAGTGGAGGAAGATGGGCATGGATGTTAGCCCAGCAACAAAAGAGGAGGATTGGCAGATGTTAGCACACGGCTGATCTTCCTCACAAAAATATAAATAAATAAAATAAAGGAAAATAGGAGACCCATTATATCCATGGAGAAGGAGAAAAATGGAGACCATGACTATGTCCACATAATAGGGGGAAATAGGGACCCCAGCCATGTCCATGGAACATGAGAAAAGCCCTGGTCATGTACATGAAAGAGGGGGAAATCAAGGACCTGGCTGTGTCCATGCACGAAGAGGAAAATATTAAGCCTAACAATGTTCATGGAATAGGGAAAAGTATGAGGTCTGATTGTTTCCATGGAATAAAGGGAAAATAGAAGCCCAAGATGTCCAGGAGTAAGAAGAAAAATGGAGACACGGCCATGTTCATGGAATAAGCAGAAAATAGGGGCCTTGGTTCTCTCCATGGAATAAGGAAGAAATCGGGGGCCTGATTATATCCATTGAATAGGAGGAAACAGGGAGCCTGGTCACGTCCAAAGAATTAGGGGAAAGTAGGATCTCTGGATACTTCCATGGAAAAGGGAAAAATAGGGAACTTGGTCACCTCCATGAAATAACAGGGAACTAGAGGCCCTGGCTCTACATATGTCCTGGTCACGACCACAGAACA